TGTCATCTCCGGTTGTTCGGCGCTTTCTAAATCTGAGTACTTGCACAGGCACAACCTGGTAGCCAGAATTCTACACCAGGAGCTCGCTCTGAAATACGGTCTCGTGGACCGAAAATTGCCGTATTACAAGTCCCTGCAAAAGCACAATGCGGATACAAAATCTCGTTCAAACCCCCACTCTCTCAAATCCGAGCAACCACTTACCTCGTGTGCTCTTTCACCCTATCCTATAAAAAAAAAAAAAAAAAAAAAAAAAACTTGCCGGAAGCCGTGCTCGAAAATGACCGCGCTAGGCTCTACTGGGACCGGGCCATCATCACAAACAGGACTATTCTTGCGAATAAGCCTGATATTGTGCTGATGGACCGGGCACAGTCAAGGATATTTTTGATCGACGTTACCATTCCGTATGACGAGAACCTCGTGAAAGCCGAAACAGATAAACGAACAAAATATCTGGACCTGGCTCACGAGGTGACCGACATGTGGGGTGGTATACCGACCGAAATTATTCCTGTAGTCGTCTCTGCGAATGGGCTAATCCCAGTCAGCCTCTCGGGTCATCTGAGGCGACTGGGACTCCGTGACGGACCGCTCCGGGCTCAAATGCAGAAGGCGGTGCTTCTCGATACCGCCCGCATCGTCCGCCGGTTTCTTTCCCTTTCCCCCTAACCCTCGGCCGTTTGGTCTCCCCTGCCGAGGGCTCCCATCTGGTTGGATCTTATTTATTTATGTAGTTTTTGTATTTATTTTATATTATTGATATTTATGTATATTTATCTTTTCATTTTAATTTATAATTATATATTTATAGCACCCAACCAGGTGAGAAAATTATATAGAAAAAATAATAATAATAATAATAAATAGGCGTAGGGAAGTGACGACCCCATCGCCCGCTGACGTAACGGTTATGTGACAAAACCGCTACGTCAGCGCAGTCAGTCAGCACTTTGCCAAGAGGTGTTAGTGCCGTGCCTCGGCAAAAATTGAAGGTGCAAAGGCCCGCTTGTGCACATGGCCTCAACACGAAACGGCGCCGGGTCTGGGCGTCTCCCCGCTAAATGACGCCCTAAAAATGGATGATGGAATCAAATAGAACGCGCAAAGGGCCGCTGCCTGGAGGTCGCCAGGGCGCGTCTAGAGCTGGCGCTGGACGCGGCAGCATGCGAACCGCCAGCCGAGCGCGAGGTGCTGCACGACAACCCAGCAGCCCCTCGCATCCATCATCCCCACCAGCTGGCTTGGTGTCGGCAGGGTCTTCGCGGGCCCAGCAATCGGCACCCGCCTCTGGTGGAGTACGCCGCATGCGTTGGACAACCCAGATAAACAGCAACGCATTGCGGGCGTATTTTAGGGCGAAAGGGGGAGAAACTGGATGTTTGGCGTATCGGGCTAGGATGCATCGTCTGTTTGCTGAGCTGGAGCCATCTTTAACCGTCACAGAGCAAAATCTGGCAGACCGAGTTCGGTATATCTTGCGCTCAAATATATTTGATGTCGCCGAACTCGAACGGCTACGACGTGAGGCTGTTCCCTCGTCGGATGAGAATGCTACAGCTGAGGATGCGGCGCCAAAAATGGTAGAGCAACCCGCAAACGTGGATGCCGCCGTGAATACCCCAGTTGTGGTTGATTCAAGCGATGATGGAACAGTCACCCAGGAACTGGAATTAGAGCATATGAGGAGTACATTGGAAGAGGCGATTGTGGAAACGCGCAGTACGCCTCTCGAAAATCGACCGCGACTTCCCCGCATAGCCCTAAGCAAGCGGAATCGGGCTGTCGTGAGGGCTCTGAACCCAATGCTGGTGACCTGTTTGGAAGCCAGCGGGGACCTTTGCGAGACGGACTCAATTCTTTTTGGCGCCGCGCTGGCAGTCTGCCGTATCATAGGCGCCAAGGTTTCCACGGCTGGACGCGCTACTGGCCATAGTAGCGCTATCCCAGCATGGAGAAGAAGAATTGAGGAACGTATCGCAAAGGCTAGAGCTCTCATCGGCAGACTGATATGCTTCAGATCAGGCAACAACAGGCCAAAAATTGTGCGCACCGTCAGGATGGCGTTTGCTGGGACAAATGTCAGTTTGTCCCAGCCGGATATAACGCAAAAACTGACGGAGCGCATAGATGATCTGAAGCAGAGAATCGCTGCTTGGGGAAAGCGGATTCGGCGATATACCGAGAAGTCGACACGGTTCAACCAGAATCGTCTCATCCAGAGTGATCAGAAGAGGCTCTATGAATCATTGGAGCGACCAATGGTAAGTGGAACGGGTCCAGCACCGAATCAGGCCGACACTGTAGTCAGAGCCCGTAAACCACAGCGAGGGCCCTTGGACGGAAGTTGTGGCGAGTCAGTGTGCGGGTATTACACCCATGGATCCCGTCATCATAACGCCGGATGACGTAGCTGAGGCGGTCCGTAGGGCCCCGAACTGGAAAAGTCCGGGGCTTGACGGGCTGCATCACTACTGGCTGAAGGGGTTCATGGTGTGTCACTCTGTGCTCGCCCGACAGTTTCAAGAGGCTCTCAACCAGAAGTCGCTCCCAAGCCTCTTCACTACTGGGATCACTCATTTGGTTCCTAAAGACCAGGGTACCACAGACCCGAGCAAATACCGCCTCATCACGTGTCTACCGACCATATACAAGACACTAACATCCATTTTGAGCGCGAGAATCACTTGTCACCTGGACTCAAATCAGGTGATGTCGCGCGCTCAAAATGGATGTCGGGGCGGTGGTCGTGGAACCAAGGAACCACTCCTCATTGACGCGGTCATTGGCAAAGTGGTGAAACGCAACCGTCGGAACTTCTCCGCCGCCTGGATAGACTACAGCCCCATACATGGCTAAAGAGAGTCCTCGAGCTGTACAAGATAGACTGTACAGTTAGAGACTTCCTCGAGCAGTGTATGGGGCAGTGGAGTACGATCCTTTGTCATCTGGGCGAGCGGATGATGGCTGCGGAGAACCACATAAGGACAAGAAGGGGTATCTTCCAGGGCGATTGTCTGAGTCCAATCTGGTACTGCCTCTCTCTGAACCTTCTCAGTACCTTTCTGGAGGGCTCCGGGAGGGGGATTTCAGCTACGGAAAGGAGGGACAAAAGTGACCCACCTTTTCTATATGGATGACCTCAAGTTATTTGCCTCCAGTCGCTCCCATCTTATGGAATTGCTAAACATCACTTGTGAATTTAGCAATTCCATTGGAATGGAGCTTGGGACGGATAAGTGTGCGGTCCTCCATGTTGAAAGGGGAAGGGTTGATAACTCTGAGGGCGTAGACTTATCTATGCCCGTCAACTTAAAGAACCTTTGCGAGGCTGAAACATACCGATACCTGGGTATGTCACAAAACATCGGTATCGATGAGACTGGTATGAAACAGTCAGTTTGCGACGTGTTTTATGCACGCTTGACCAAAGTGCTTAACAGCCTTTTGTCCGGTGTGAATAAGGCACACGCATATAACGGCTGGGTCATGCCTGTCCTCATGTATACCTTTGGCATACTCAGGTGGACTCAGACTGAACTTAACGCCCTGGATAGAAAAGTCCGCAATACCATGACGTCCCATAGGATGCATCATCCGAGATCGTCGGTAATGAGGCTGTACTTGTCGCGGAAGCATGGTGGTCGTGGCTTCTTGAGCGCGCTCACCATACATAATCGCGAAGTGTGCAGCCTCCGTGATTACTTCCTGGCGAGATCTGATGATCTATTCTATAAGGACGTCATTTCTTGTAATAAAGGACTTACCCCTCTATCCTTAGCCAACGAGCAATGGCAAGACCCGGCAGTGCAGAGCATTTCCGACCGGGAGACCGTATGGAAGGAGAAGGAGCTCCACGGGAGGTTCTACAAGGCTCTACATGAGCCTTTCGTAGACGCAGTAGCCTCCCTCCACTGGCTACGCTTTGGTGATCTCTTCGGGGTAAACCGAGGGTTTTGTCTGTGCAATACAGGATCAGGTTATTAAGACCAACAACTATCGGAGATACATCCTAAAGGATGGCACCGTCGACATCTGTCGAGCTTGTCGCCATCCCGGTGAGTCACTTAGGCATGTTATCTCCGGTTGTTCGGCGCTTTCTAACTCTGAGTACTTGCACAGGCACAACCTAGTAGCCAGAATTCAACACCAGGAGCTCGCTCTGAAATACGGTCTCGTGGATCGGAAATTGCCGTATTACAAGTACTTGCCGGAAGCCGTGCTCGAAAATGATCGCGCTAGGCTCTACTGGGACCGGGCCATCATAACAGACAGGACTATTCTTGCGAATAAGCCTGATATTGTGCTGATGGACCGGGCACAGTCAAGGATATTTTTGGTCGACATTACCATTCCGTATGACGAGAACCTCGTGAAAGCCGAAACAGACAAGCAAACAAAATATCTGGACCTGGCTCACGAGGTGACCGACATGTGGGGTGGTCTGCCGACCGAAATTATTCCTGTTGTCGTCTCTGCAAACGGGCTAATCCCAGTCAGCCTCTCGGGTCATCTGAAGCGGCTGGGACTACGTGGCGGACCGCTCCAGGTTCAAATGCAGAAGGCGGTGCTCCTCGATACCGCCCGCATCGTCCGCCGGTTTCTTTCCCTTTCCTTTCCCTTTCCCTGCTGAGGGCCTCCATCTGGTTGGGCTTTTATTTATTTATGTACTTTTATATTTATTTTATGTTATTGATATTTATGTATATTTATCTTTTCATTTTCATTTATAATTATATATTTATAGCACCCAACCAGATGAGAAAACTATACAGATACCCCAAAAGACGTAGGGAAGTGACGACCACATCGCCCGCTGACGTAACAGTTATGTGACAAAACTGCTACATCGGCGCAGTCAGTCAGCATCCTGACAAGAGGTGTGAGCGCCGTGCCTAGGCAAAATTGTAGGTGCAAAGGTCCGTTTGTGCATATGACCCAACCTCGAAACGGTGCCGGGCTTGGGCGTCTCCCGTTATTTGGCGCCCATAAAATGGATGATGAAAGAAACACAGAAAGGAACGCGCATAGGGCCGCTGCCTGGGGGTCGCCGGGGCGCGTCTGGAGCTGGCACTGGACGCGGCAGCATGCGGGCCGCCAACCGAGCGCGAGGAGCTGCACGATCACCTAGCAGCCCCTCGCATATATCATCCCCACCAGAAGGCTTGATGTCGGCTGGGTCTTCTCGGACTCAGCAAGCGGCACCAGCCGCTGATGGAGCACGTCGCATGCGTTGGACAAAATCTATGAACGAAAACGCATTGCGAGCGTACTATAGGGCGAAAGGGGAAGAAACTGTGGGAATAGCGCATAGGTCTCGGATGCATCACTATTTTGCTGAGCTGGAGCCTTCTATCCCCGTCAGAGAACAAAACCTGGCAGACCGAGTTCGGTACATCATGTGCTCGAAAATATTTGATGATGCTGAACTCGAACGACTACGACGTGAGGCTATTCCGTCGTCGAATGAATCGGCTATGGCTGGAGATGCAGCTCCACATTTGACAGACCAGCATCCACACGTGGAAGCCGCCAAGGATCTTCCAGTTTTGGTTGATTCGAACGACGATGAAATAGTCTCCCACGAACTAGAGCAAATGAGGAGTATATTGGAAGAGGCGATTTTGGAAACGCGCAGCAACTTTCTCAAAAATAGACCGCGACTTCCCCCGCATACCCCTAAGCAAGCGAAATCGGGATGTCATGAGGGCTCTTAACCCAATGCTGGTGACATATTTGGAAGCCATCCGGGACCTTTGCGAGACGGACTCAATTCTCTTTGGCGCCGCAGTGGCAGTTTGCCGTATTATTGGCGCCAAACTTCTCATGGCTGGACGCGCTACTACACAAAGTAGCGCCATCCCAGCCTGGAGAAAAAGAATCGAGGACCGTGTCGCAAAGGCAAGGGCCCTTATCGGCAGACTGACAAGCTTCAGAACGGGTAACAATATACCGAGGATTGTGCGCACTGTTAGGATGGCGTTTGCTGGGACAACTATCAGTTTGTCCCAGCCGGATATCACGCAGAAACTAACGGAGCGCATAGACGACCTGAAGCAAAATATCGCTGCTTGGGGGAAGCAGATTCGACGATTTACCAAGAGGTCATAGTGGTTCAACCAGAATCGTCTCTTCCAGAGTGATCAGAAGAGGCTCTATAAATTATTGGAGCGACCAAAGGTATGTGGAGCGGGCCAAGAACCGCATCAGGCTGACATTATCGTATTCGGGCGTGGCCTGTAGTCAGAACCCGTAAACCACAGCCAGGGCCCTTGGACGGAAGTTGTGGCGTGCCAGGGTGCGAGTGTTACGCCTATGGACCCCACCACCATAACGACGGAAGACGTGGCTGAGGCGGTCCGTAGGGCCCCGAACTGGAAAAGTCCGGGGCTCGACGGGCTGCATCATTATTGGCTGAAGGGGTTCATAGTGTGTCACGCTGTGCTCACCCGACAGTTTCAAGAGGTTCTCCACCAGAATTCGCTCCCGAGCCTCTTCACTACTGGGATCACTCACTTGGTTCCTAAAGATCAGGATACCACAAACCCGACCAAATACCGCCCCATCACGTGTCTACCCACCATATATAAGACACTGACATCCATTTTGAGCGCGAGAATCACTCGTCACCTTTAGCTAAACCAGGTGATGTCACGCGCTCAAAATGGATGTCGTGGCGGTGGTCGTGGAACCAAGGAACCACATCTCATTGACGCGGTCATAGGCAAAGTAGTGAAACGCAACCGTCGGAATTTCTCTGTCGCCCGGATAGACTACAGAAAGGCGTTCGACTCGGTGCCTCATACATGGCTAAAGAGGGTCCTCGAGCTGTACAAGATTGACTGTACAGTTAGAGACTTCCTCGAGCAGTGTATGGGGCAGTGGAGTACGATCCTTTGTCATCTGGGCCAGCGGATGATGGCTGCGGAGAATCACATAAGGATAAGAAGGGGTATCTTCCAGGGCGATTGTCTGAGTCCAATCTGGTTCTGCCTCTCTGAACTCTCTCAGTACCATACTGGAGGTTTTTATGCACGCTTGACCAAAATGCTTAACAGCCTTTTGTCCGGTGTGAATAAGACACACGCATATAATGGTTGGGTCATGCCTGTCCCCATGTATACCTTTGGATACTCAGGTGGACCCAGACTGAACTTAACGCCCTGGATAGACAAGTCCGCACTAACATGACGTCCCATAGGATGCATCATCCGAGATCGTTGGTAATGAGGCTGTACTTGCCGCGAAAGCATGGTGGGCGTGGTTTTCTGAGCGCGCTCACCATGCATAATCGCGAAGTGCGCAGCCTCCGTAATTACTTCCTGGCGAGATCGGATGATCCATTCTATAATGACGTCATTTCTAGTGATAAAGGCCTTACCCCTCTATCCTTAGCCAACGAGCAATGGCAGGCCCAGCAGTGCTTAGCATTTCCAACCGGGAGACCGTATGGAAGGAGAAGGAGTGTTCCACGGGAGGTACTACAGGGCTCTACATGAGCCCTGTAGTACTTCGTAAAGCCCTTCGTAAATAAAGTCGCCCCCCTCAACTGGCTAAATTTCGGTGACCTCTTCGGGAAACCGAGGGTTTTGTCTGTGCAATACAGGATCAGGTTATTAAGACCAACAACTACCGGAGATACATCCTAAAGGATGGCACTGTCGACATCTGTCGAGCTTGTCGCCATCCCGGGGAGTCACTTAGGCATATCATCTCCGGTTGTTCGGCGCTTTCTAACTCAGAGTACTTGCATAGGCACAACCTAGTAACCAGAATTCTACACCAGGAGCTCGCTCTGAAATACGGTCTCGTGGACCGAAAATTGCCGTATTACAAGTACTTGCCGGAAGCCGTGCTCAAAAATGACCGTGACAGGCTCTACTGGGACCGGACCATCATCACAAACAGGACTATTCTTGCGAATAAGCCTGATATTGTGCTGATGGACCGGGCACAGTCAAGGATATTTTTGGTTGACATTACCATTCCGTATGACGAAAACCTCGTGAAAGCCGAAACAGACAAGCAATCAAAATATCTGGACCTGGCTCACGAGGTGACCGACATGTGGGGTGGTCGGACGACCGAAATTATTCCTGTAGTCGTGTCTGCAAACGGTTCATCCCAGCCAGCCTCTCGGGCCATCTGAGGCGAGAGGACTCCGTCACGGACCGCTCCGGGCTCAAATGCAGAAGGCGGTGCTCCTGGATACCGCACGCATCGTCCGCCGGTTTCTTTCCCTTTCACCTTAACCCTCGGCCGTTTGGTCTCCCCTGCCGAGGGCTTCCATCTGGTTGGGCTTTTATTTATTTATGTATTATTTATTTATTTATGTTAGTATATTAAATATATATATTTAAGTATATTTATTATTCCCTTTATATATTTATCCAGCCCAACCTGATGTGATTACTCTATGAATAACCCAAAAAATAATAATAATAATAAATAATAATATTAATAAATGGCGGACGTTGTCAAAAGTAAATGATGCAGTCAGTACAAAATCTTAAAAATTAATTTTTGTAGTATATGTTTCAAATTCCCAAATAACAAATTCTCAACGCAAATAGATTTTACAATATCAATATAAATAAAATTTTGAAAATCTGTGGATAAGAAACTAATTTCAAGAAAAATTTATTTCTTTCAAATTAACAACTGTCATCTAAGAAATTTTACAAACAGATTTATAAAATATTTAATTTAACGTTACATTATGCATAGAACGAGACGACAAATACGAATAAATACCGCCAATACCACAATCGCACACGTAACATCGCCTACGGAGGAATACACATCCATGGAATGTAATCCAAGAGGCACAAGAAGAACCCCCGTACCATCTTTGAGGGGGGACGAAGAGTGCCAGCGGCTGGCTTGGGACCTGCAGGAATTACCATCCTACATAAGGACCTCGCTACTGATGGTGTAGTGCGATAACGCATGCGCTGGAATAAAGAATTAAATATAAGTATTATGCGCGCGTACTATAAGGCTACCAAAGGAGGAAGCAATCTTATATCTTATCGCCCTAAAATTTTGTCTGAATTCCAACAGCTACAACCCAACCTAACAAACTTAACTGCCCAAAGACTTTCAGATTAAGCACGTGTCATTCTAAGTCGTAAGATTTTGGACGACAGATTAATTGCACAACTTTGCAGTGAGTATTCAACATCTACTATCAATTCAATACCTGATTCCCATCGGAAACTTCCAGGTGAGACTGATGACTTAAATGTTAATAACAGTAACCATAATATAAATATTACTAACTTAAATAACGAAAAAGAAGAGCGAAATTGTTTTGATATAGATGTGAGTTCCAAAGACAGCGAATATACGAAAAGGACTTTCGAATGTTCCCTTCTGGAATATAAAATACACCTATAGAAAATAGACCAAAACTACCTAAATTTCCTAACAACAAAAAAACTATTTTAACAGTAGCATAAATGAATATTCTATATAAAGATTATTTTGAAAAAAGTAACTCTATTTTGGAAACTTTGTCTCTTCTATACTGTTCTGCCCATGCTATATGATATGATAATGAAAATTTCTGTCATTTCAGTACAAAATTTTAAGAAAAATAATACAGAACCTAAATGGAAACAAAGAATTAAAAACGAATTGACAATACTCGCAAAATTATAGGAAAATTAATAAGCTACCAAACAGGTAAGAAACAAAAAAAAAATAATTACTTTAGTAAATCAAATCGCTAATGAAAATGATATTAGCCAATCAGATCCTCATTTTGCGGATAAAATTACTGAATTCATTGATACACATAAACAAAAGTTAAAAGCATGGGTCAACCGTATTAGACACTATTCAGAAAGATCTAAACGGTACTTCCAGAATCGCACATTCGAAAGTAACCAAAAGTAGGTGTATCGGTCTTGGGAGAACACTACAACTAATAGGTGTACTCATGACAGCCCAAGCTTAAATGAATGTCAAAATTTTTGGAAAAGATGTAGTCTAACGAAGTTTCTTATAATGAAGGCGAATGGATTTGTGCAACCGAACGTAAGTTTTCTAATTTGGCTAACATGGGTTCTATTTCAATTACTGCTGAAAATGTACACTCAATTACTCGTAGATTACACAATTGGAAATCACTGGGACCACATGGTATACACAACTTTTGGCTGAAATGGATAACAAGTAGCCACGTGCGTTTGGCTGCACAGATTTTAGAAGCCATTGAGTGTTGTGAGCTCCTGAGACTTCTTACAATTGGTATTACCCACTTACTATATAAAAATGGAAACACCACTGAACCTAAAAATTACCGACCTATAACATGCCTTTCAACTGTATACAAATTAATAACTGCAATTTTGAATAACAAGATCTATAAACATTTGGAAAATAATAACATTCTTTCAACTGCACAGAACGGATGTCGGAAAGGGACACGTGGTTGTAAATAACTTCTTCTCATTGACACTGCTATTTGCCGACAAGTCTATCGTAATTGCAAAAATATGTCCGCTGCTTGAGTGGATTACAAAAAGGCATAAAGAGAGTTTTAGAAATATATAAAATAGATATCAAAATTTGGAAGTTTTTAAGTAAATTAATGGATCAGTGGAACACTATCCTAAATCTACCAGGTGAGTGGCAAAGTAGTTCGATAGACTATAAATATTAAACCGGGTATATTCCAGGGAGATAGTTTGAGCCCAACTTTGTTTTGTTT